TTTCCATGTAAATATTTTACTCTGAAGAAATTTCCTACACTCTATGCTGATAACTGTAGAATTTTGATGCAGAAAATACAAATATATTTTGAAGATTTTTCCCAAATTCCAAAACACTGAGAATTGTACTGCAATGTTTCATGCAAGCTCAGGTGCCACACAACTGTAAGTCATCAGCTCAATACTAATTTCTCATAATAAAGCCACTGCTATAAATGAAGAATGGCATTTCTATATATGCTCTTTCTTACCTGGACAGATGAGACGGCTCAGGGCTCAAATGAGGTAAAGGCCAGTGACACAGACATGTTTAAGACAAGAAGATGAAAATGAAATGTGAGTATCTACCAAAGGGCCATGCTGTGGAAGCTGGATGATAATCCACACCAACAGGGAAAAGGGAGGAATTTGTGGCTCTGAAAACCATGTTCTCCTGTGGCAGAGCTGCTGAAAGCAACGTGGAAAGAGTCACTGACAGCTTTATACTGTGTCCATTTTTAACTGAATTTGCTGTGGCACAGAACCACATACAATTCAGAATTCTTTGAATAGTTTCAGCAATGGCTTTATACTGTTTCAACAGCCTCACAGCCCTGCTGCTGCACTGTGGGGACTGTTTAACAGCCTTGCCAGGAGCTGGCAGGCACATCAGCAAGGCACCAGCCAGCTCCAGTCACAGAGGGTGCTTTCACTGCCCCCCTGGCTAGGCTGTACTGCAGGCAGGATTAGCAGATTCCTTTTGCCTGGCCAGTTGTGAGTCATTTTCAGAGCCCTTTGAAGCTGCCCAATTAACAGAAAATTTTTCAAGAAAAGCCAGTTAGTACCATCTCCTGTGTTTATTTTAAAGCTTTATCTGCCAGTAATTTTCTTGAGCAATTTCAAAAGTAAAGCAGCAAAGATTATCTTTGGAAACATCGATCTTTTCCTGTATACAGTAAATAAAAAATGCAGGAATTCAGTTAATCCTTTAATGCCTTTTAAAATCTCTCCTGAGGCATTGCTGCCTGTCACACCAAGCCTTTCCAGCTGGGCTGTGGCACTTGGGCATCAGCCACTTGTCTGCCAGACAGCCACATTCAGTGTGCAAATCCACTTCAGAACTTGAAACAGCAATGCCAATAGCAATGAGGACTCTGAGCAAGAGACTGGTGTTTGAGTATTTTCCTCATATCCATTTGCATTTTCTACCTTTCCTCACCCTCTGATCCACTGTGGGTTGTTTACCACACAGAGAAGTAATTATCCACTAAATCCCATCACTGCTCCTGCCACTTGTAGCAGGAAGAACGAGAGATTCCTTGAGTTAAAATCTCCCAAACCAAAGAAATCTGACATTAGTCAGCAGTCCAGCAGCTGAGTGGGGGCAGAAAGAGCCTGTGTGTTGGCTCACAAAAGTAAGAATCTTTGTGAAAACAAAGTACCAGAACTTCTAACAATCAAGTGATTGACATGAAAACAAAAGAGCACCATGGAGTATATAAACAAATCTTTATTTAAAGCTTTTAAATGGAACACAGTATTCAATTTTCATCAGAAAAAGAAAAACTGAAAACTGAAAGATAAACGCAGGACACGTGGAACTTCTCGCAAATAGGTCTATACTGTGTGCAATTGGAGTGGATACTTGCATTTTAATGGTCACTGACTGTGGTCATACGTGCACTGGGTAGCTGGAAAGTAATGCACCAGGTCAAGCTCTTGAAAGCATGTTGCATAGTTATTTAAATTCACTATGAGCTATTCTATTCAACAGTCATCCCAGCTATGTGTAGTCAGACAACAAAGACTCTGGTTTTAGAAAAGCTATTGGTATTTTAGGTATAAATTAATCATCATCCTGACAGCCACTACTGCGGCTCAAGACCAAGAACCATCCTTTAAAAGCAGGCTGTTAAGCTAAAACATCTACTCAAAAGGGGAACCACCACCTTTTTAAGTATCACTGACAAATCTCACATGTATAATATAGCTCTAGATACACCAAAGAACCATTCACTTGAAGCTTTCAGTGCATCTATGCTAAAAAAAAAAACCCTAAAGTAAACCCCCACACTGTAGTTAAAAGCAACAATTTTTCATGTTCTGTAAGTGCAATCCACTATTAAAACCTCAAGCTGGGTTTTGTGCTTTGCTTGTGCAACCTTTACAGCACAAGATGTGCCTTGGACTCCGGTGTGGAGGAGCTGGAAAGGCAGGGCAGGGCAGGTAATGCCCTGGAAAGGAGAGGGCTGATGCTCCAGCAAGGACCAAGGCTGCCCTACAGCCCCTCCGTGACAACGCTGCCTCTCCTCAGGTCCCCTCAACTGTCCAATATAATCCTCCCCACAGGGAAACCTCACAACAGCAAATGCCCCTTTTCAGGCCAAATGTTGCACAACAAAATGCTGTACCTTCCTGGGATAACTCCTGCCCCACCATGTGTGTGGTAAGTTAATGTGCTGAATAAATTACCTGCTTTAAAATTATAAACTCTACCTAACGTTACACCCCAACACAACAGCAGCCTTAGATTAAGATGGAAAAGAAAAAATCTTCACCCCTATTTCCATCCTATTTATTCAGTTTCATTAGGGTCTTAATAATTTTCTAATCTTTCTTTTATAAGATACATTTTTCTGAAACAATTCTTCTTATTGCCACTCTGTAAGAACGAGGAATTTTCCTCATATTAGTCATAAGAGAAAAAAATCTGAAAAAAATCTTCATGCCCACAGACACTTCAGAGACAGCGACATTTGAACAAATGTACAGCAAACAGACCTCTGATAAAATCGTACCACACTCTTAAAAGGAATGTAAGCTTTTCATCAGTGAGCATTTTGAAGCACCTTTACCCTTTCTAAATCATCTGCTAAGGGGAGAGGCACAGGACGATCCTGCTGGTGTGAGGTGGCTTTCAATACTAATATAATGGTAATACTAACAAATAGGTAAATAGTTAAAGACTTGTATTTAAACAAAAAGTAGGTTTATTGTACTTTCTAAAAAAATAATTGCAAGTTCTTGCACCATTTGTAGATAACTATTGTCTACCTGATGTGCAAGAAGGAAGAGACTAAGAAAATTACTGAAAATCACATACAGACGCATCCTGCGGGCATCTGGCCTCCCCCGCAACCTTCACAGTCATGTGTCCAAAGGCAAAAGCCATTTGCACCTTTGCAAATTAACCTGAAAGCCTCTCATCATCATCCTGCATCTCCTGGACCATCACCCCAACCTTACCAGCACCCAGAAGCAGTCAGTCAGCTCCTTGCCTGTACTGAGGGATGCAAAAGCATTCCAAAGGAAAGCAAAACACCACCAAAATATTTTCACTAAGCTGAGGCTGGACCAGCACCTTCTCTATTCAATATATCTTGTTCAGGTTCAATGCAGAAATTGTTTTAAGGGAAGGAAAAAAACCTATAGACATAAATCTCCCTTCTCAATATAATACGAGTATTTCTCTGAATTTTAATGCTACATTTCTTAAAATAATCCTCTTGTGCCTGTGATTTACTAAATAAGCATATTTATATAACTACACATGTAGCAGTAGACTAATTCAATAAATTAGAGCTCAAAACATCAACTGTGAGCACAAGTATATTTACAAACAGCAATAAATTATTGATCAAAATGTGTACGATATTACATAAGGATCTCTGACGTTTTGTACCAGTGTTTAAGGGCCAGAACAAGCAGGGTGCTCACTGCTCGTGCCCACACAGGAGACAGGGTGGAGGCAGAGCCAAAGGAGTCCCCACAGGAGCCACTGTGCCACAGCCCCGGGCACCAGCCCTGCACCGGCCTGCCAGTGTCCCCTGCAGGAACAGCCATCAATTCCCATCACTTCCACTTGGAAGGCAGGCACCCACACCAAACAATTCAAAGTTGCACTAGAAGTCATTAAGAATAATATTAGGCCATAGAATGTAACTCAAACCAAAATACTCGACACAGTGATTTGCAGTTGCAGAAATGAAAATGGCCCATTTCCTCCCCATTGTAGCGAGTGGAAGGTATTTCCAGGGCTATTCTCTGCAACAGAAGGCATGTGACTGGAAAGGATTGCCGAGAGGGATGGCACAATTTGTCCCAACAGGCAGAAGACAAGGACAGCTGCTCCCCCAGCATGCAGTTACACAGCCAGGGCAGCCCCTGCAGAGAAGGCATCGTGCTGAGACAGGGGAAGACACGGGAGACAATGGAGGGGACAAAGCTTCATAAGAACAAGATGAAACTTTTTAGGTACAATCCCCATGTTATTGATGCTTCTGCATATACACATCTATAATTCTCTCTCACCTGCAGGTGCAATGAAGAGCCTCTGCAAGCCTCACAGCACCTAAGTTTATCAAATCAAAAATTAAAAAAAAAAACAATAGGAAGTGCAAAGTAAGGCAAGTAGCTCTGTAATAGTATCTCTCTTTGAAAAAACTAGCTATCTGCCCAAAAAACTAGCTATCTGAGGCTGAAGGATTATCAAATCCTATAAAACCCATGAAAGGTTTTTGCCGATCAAAAAACTTCCAAAAACTTCAAGCTACCTGATGTCCCTTTACAAATTACAGGAGGCAAGAAACTTGCAAGTAAGAACGTGAATGAATACAACTGGAGTTTATATTTTGTAAACTTAAAATGAACTATGTTAGAACTTTGGTACACCGCTTTCTTTCACTAGCAACAAAATAGCTCAAAAAAAATAAAGTATGAACAAAAAGTGAATGATGCCAATAATTCAGTCTTTACCTATAAAGTTACTACTTTTCAACCAAGTCACAATCAAAGATTTACTAAGTCTTTCCTCTATCTCCTTATGTCCTTTTCTGAGTACTTCCAGACATTTGCAGCCCTGCAGAGGGCAGGAGGAGTCTCTGTGCCAGCTCACAGGCATCAGCAATTTTATACTGCTGGTGTTAGGGAAGCAGTTGAGCCTTAGCCCGTAAGATGGTAACACTGCCCAATTCCTGCACTTGGACTACATCTCCACTCTTGGCACTCCCCTGTTAATCTGCCATTCCTATTGGTCACACAATCAGCAACCACATGTAAAAATAAAAGGTACTAAAAATATACAAGTCCTCTTGTAACATAGTTTTCCAAAGGAGTAAGAATCACTCGCAGGGTACAGAAACTCCATGTGAAAGGCAGCTGAGTGAATTTTACTGCATCCTGGCTCCCACACTCTACCTTGCCTTAAGGCCCCCAGAACTGAGGCAGGCAGCAGACTCCCTGGGCACAGAACTGGTACGTTTCACCAAGTTTTTGACAAAGTACAGTGAGGAGACAAGAGCTAAAAGCAGCAAATGACAGGTCTAAAAAGACCAACTTTGAATTGGCCAAGCACCTTGCAAAAGATTTTCAGAATTCTTGTGACACAGATAAGAACAGTGAGTTGGAAAGACTACTGCACTTAAAGAATGTGAACTGGAACTGCACAGCTTAAATGTTTCTACAGGTGAAGGGGAATTTCTTTTCTATTTTTATTACAGTGAACGCAGCAATGCAGCTGAATGTATTCTGCTAAGTCAGAAACAAGTGCAGAAAAAGAAAACAACTGTCCCCTACTACTACCTGACATGACAGTTCATAGCATATCCTTCATTTATCTTGTCTGTTGAGACTTGTTTCATGCTGCACATAGGCAGAGGAGTCTGACTGAGCCTTATGTTTTCACCAAGCAACAAAAACTGGAACCTGGATAATCATATATTTTCTTAAATGAAGAATTTGCAGAAATACACACTTCAACATGTCTCTCCTCCAACAACTATTGAATTTGGGGTTTTAATGCACGTATTTAATTCAATAAAACAAATGTCACTAACTTGCATGGAACATTAAAACACTTGGAGATGAGGCGGTTTACAGGACCTGGTTACTTCTACTGAGAGGGATTTAAAATCTCCAAGTTGACTTCTGAGCATTAGGCAAACCTCTTAATAACTCCAGTGCAGTTATGTCAGTAATTATTTTTCACACAGAACTCGAAGAGACACAAAATATTAATTTTCCAATAAGCATACAAAAATAATTTCTTACTCTCTTAACCAGTTTCTGAAGTTTCTTTTGCTGCTTTCCAGTCAACACATGTCTAACTAAAATAAGTTAGCACAATCATTTGTATGGGCTGCCTGCACACTGGGCAGGGTTTGTTCCTCTTCTTGAGCTTTTTTGCACAGGTAAAACATGACATGAGGTGTCCCGTTTTGCCATGTACTATGCAGCCATTTTTAGGTCTGCTTTGACATATGACACACGGCTCTATGCTGGTAACAGGCAGACTGGACTCCATGCTTTCCTCTTTGTCTTGCATTTCTCTCTTCTCAGGTTCCTTAAAGTCCTCCTGACTGCTACAGAACATGCTGCTTGATGTTGATGGCTGGGAATAACCTTCACTTTCCTGGGACTCAGAAAGCTGTACTGATTTATCCTCATTCTCATCCACAGCTGGTTCTTTATCTTCAGTCATTTTTGCTTTCTTGCAATCAGGAACATCAAAACCTTCTCCAGACTCTGCAGAAAAGGAGGTTTCTAATTTGCTCTTTTCCAGTTTCTCACTCTTTTGATCTGGAAGCCAATCCTCACGAAGGGCCCAGCATCTGTGGCAATGTCGTGGAAGCGGAGGATTCATTTCATTGCATTCGGGACACTTCCAATAATCCTTCAGTGAATCAAAGGTTGGAACAGCTTAAGCTACTTGGAACACTTACAACTGAAGTATTCAGAAATTATAAACAATTTATTACTGCCAAAATAATTATTATGTTGAGCTATCAACTTGTTTACAATTTTAAAATTCCATTCAGTGGTTTTGGCCCCATTTTACAATTCTATATTAAAATGCTTCTTATTTTAAAAGGACTCTGGCTTTCCTTCGTTTTGCAATAGGTTTATGAATAGAACACTTCATTATTCCTACGCAAAACTGCAGAAACCAGACCACAGAATTCTTCAGAGGCCCTCATGAAAACTCGTTAAAAAGGTCATAATTTCCCTTTTTTCGGCTATGGACTCCTGCGACGGGAGCTATTCCAGGCGGAGGGGCCCTTGCCCGGCTGCGCTGCTGGTGCACACCGCGGCCGGGAGAGGGCGCTCCGACACAGCCGCAGCACAGAAACAGCGGCCAGGGCAAACACGGACGGGAAGGGGAAGGGGAAAGGGAAAAAATAAAAGGGCAAAACCAAAGCGGTGCATCCGCCTCTCACAGGTTACTCCACGGACTACAATGAAAATAAACCACTGTTTCGTTAAAAATACATTTTGCTTTGAAGGACAGAGACCCTTCTTAGAAACAATGCAAGCAAGTACAGAAAATCAAAACAAAAATAACCCAACCCAAAACTTACTTAGGCAAGTCCTAAAAAAAAAAATCAGTAACATCAAAAACTTATAAAACAAATTTTAAATCCTAAAAGTAATGGACAGGTCTCTTTTCCTACACATAAGCACCACTATCTTTTCAGAAGGTGGCCAGCCCTGTCTTTAACACACCAAGTCCCTCAGTCCTACAGACTATCACGGAACTGGAACACTTCACAGTTCCACAAAACAGCTTTAATTCAAGTATCAAATGTGAAAAATATAAATAAGGTGATAGGACACACTAGAATTAAAATGCAGTGTTTTTTCACAAACATCTCCATACTTTGCCTCAAGACTGTCAATTTCTTCCCACACCTCAAGAAGGGTCTCACAGAATGTAGTAAAGGCCTCTTTTACAGTACTGTTCTGAAAAAAGGCTTGCCTTCACATCTCTATGTTACAGACACCTTCATTCAAGCTGGACAGTAAAACTAGGTATTCTGACTTCTATAAAGAGTTTTTTAAATGTACATGACTAAGATTTTAATTTTTTTCCATTTTGTTCAGAAAGTCAGATTTAGGCTCCAAATAATTTTCTTCCATTAAGTCAATGAAATGGTAAATTAGTGTGGGATTGGGGTTTTTTTAATGGATTAGGAAGTTTATTACCCATTTTAAAAAAACCCCCAAGATATCTTAATAATCACATGTTCCTTAATAAGCACAGTAATTAAAATATTGTATTGGAACCTTCACACAAAGTCAATTTAATTCTTAAAAAACCACTGGTAGCAATAGAACTCATCTATACTTCTCCATCTATTCTATGTCAGTTTACCCAATTTACGATGCTTCACCAGACAAGTTTTTACTCACAGCTAAAGAAATCTCTGGATCTTCATCAAATGAATCAGCATCACTATCTTCATCCTGGTAAATAGTCAGCTGATAAACCTGGTTTAAATTTAAAAATATATATATATGTATACAGAACTGGCTTTTGGCATTTAATTAAAAATGCAAATATTTTTAACCTGCTAAGATTTTCAGATAGCAAGCTAGTGGAGAGTCTCCAGGGATGGACTATTAAGATAATTAATGGATTAGAGGAGCTGTCACGTGAGGAAAGCTGAAAGAGCTGGGAATGTTCAGCCTGGAGAAGGCTCAGGGCAGGAGGTAAAGGATGGCATCAAGAACACAGAGCCACGCTGTTTTCAGTAGTGCCCAGTGGCAGGACAATGGCAACTAGCACAAGTTAAACACAGGAGGTTCCCCCTGAGTATCACAAGACACCTTTCACTGTGAGGATGAAGGAGCACTGGCATGGCTTGCCCTGAGCACCTATGAAGCTTCTATCCCTGGGGATATTCAAGACACTTGGACATGGACCTGGGCAATCAGCTCTGCCTGAGCCAGGGCAGGTGGGTAAGAGAACCTCCAGAGGCCCCTTGGAACACCAGCCATCCAGCAATTCCCAAACCTACTGTCTGGAGCAGGAGCTTTCCTCCTCCAAGATACCATCCTCTCTCAGGGTGCAGCTCTGCTCTACACTACAATTTGGTGCACATCAGTACAGTCAGTCCCATTCAGCCTCCCAGCTACCACAATCATGTACATCCCTGGTGAATTCTGCCTCTGGTACTCACCTAATCTTGCCACGAGCTGATTAACCTCTTTAAAGTAACAGAAAACTAACCCAGGAAGAAAACCCTACATACATTCTCACTTCATTCCCGTCATTCTAGAAATCTCTTGAAAATTGCAGTAATCACAATTTTTCTGTCTTCCTGCCTACTAATAAAGATTCCTAAAACTTTGTTTCAACATCTCTATGAAACATTTACATTCACAGAGGCAAAAAACTTGGACATATCCCTTTGGAAAGAGTTACTCAGAAAGGTTTCCTTTGGTGTCAAGGGTTGTCAAAGCTCAACATGTACTTCTAGAATTAAAAATGCAGAAAGGCTATAGTACACATGCTGCCACTGACTTCAACAGCTGGTGAGAGCAGTTAAGCACCCAGACTTTCTTATCCAGCCCTTTTCAGAGCCTGCAGAAAGCCTCAGCACCATTTCAGTAGCTGGCTGGTGAGTTGTAAACAGGTGACCCAATTGCACCAATATGTAATTTGATTTAATGAACAACTGGCTGCAGATTGTGACACCAGCACATGCAGTTTGCAAATATACCTGAAGAGTTCTCCTTGGAAACTTGCAGTAATTTTTCATGTTGAAATTCCTTTTCCTTCTCATCCCCTCCCCCCAGGGTCAAACAAGGAAAGCAGATAGTACCTCATCATCTTCATCAGTGAGCTCCTGCCCTTCTTCATTATGGCTGTAATCTTCTGAATAAATAGACTCAACTTCAAACTCCACACTGAACTGGTCTGATACAGAACCATGGTCAAACCAATCTGAGTTTTCACTTAATGAACTAGCATCAAGATCCTGAGGAAAAGAAAAAAGAAAGCACACATTCAACCTCACCAGTCCATATACACAAGACTACTGATAAAACAACTCTCAGGATAAAACTGCACTACTCAGTATAATTAGCTATGGAAGAAAAAGGACCAGCTGCTGTGAGACACAGTACTTTTTATGAGATAAACAAATTATAGGTGGGTAAAAAGAAAGCTAGGCCTGGAAGCCTTTTGCTGGCTCTAATAAGAAACTGCACTCAGCCTACAGGCAGCTGAAAGGCTGCAGTCATTATTTCAGAAAGTCCCTCCTAAAACGTGAAAGAACAGATGAAAGAAGATGGTATCTTCTGGCTGCATGTCATTAAATTCCCTATTCTCATAAACTTTGTTTAATCTGAGATAATTTTTTAACAACTACAAAACATGAAGACTGAAAATACAGTATTAGTGCTGTCAATTGAGAACACAGTATGTGACCAGGAATACTGTTAGTTCAGCTCTTCATGACTTAATCGAACCACAAATTTGCCCTGGTGTTGGCTAAAAACAATACAAAACTTCTGAATAATGGCATGGCAAACTAATACAATGCACCATCAGCACCCATTCCACTGGGTACAGTTACCAAAGCTGTACCAGAAATAACACCTAACTCTGAATTATGGAATATCTATGACTCTTTTTGTCTCTTAGCATTCTAACAAATATTTATTTTAAAACACAAAATATGTCTGACTTTTTTCCATACTGTGCCAAGTAGCGAGGATCTTGGTTTTTAAAGAATATTCAACATTAATATCTTTTAAAATTTCACTTCAGCTTTGCCAGCAGACCTATGAAAAACCCCACTCCACCCACACACCTACTTTTCTTTCAACCTCTTTTCTTTCCTCAGACACCACTGAAGGCACTGCTGCTTTTAATTAAGAACACTGTGTTTTCAGATGCATGTTTGCACTTGTGGCATCTGCAAAATTTGTAACACAAAAATACTTTACTTTTCTATTTTGACTTACAGGAATGGAAAGAGAATCTGTTGAATCACTGCTATTGCTTCTTTCACGGCACAGACCACTGACTACACACCATGAGAGACTTTCATCAAATGTCACCGAAATGTTCTCTGACTTGTGTCGCTTTCTTCTGTCACTGTGCAGGTCATCTGAAGAACTTTTTTCTGAGCATAGTCAAGAATTTTTTTATTACTCAAAAACATCTATGCAATGCGCAGTTTTGAATTTTCTAAACAGAAGCTTAAAACACAATTTACTACAAAGAAATCTAGTAAAGTAAAATATTACAATATTTTTTTATAGGGCAAAAAGGCACTAAGACTTATTTTAAAAGATACAATAACTCTTATATCCATACAGTGTGAAACATTTCTGAAACCATATTTCAGGGGCTGGCTTTCCCCACTTGTCTCATCAGTACACTTACAAATGGCAGTCTCCACATGGAAGACAACAGCAAATCTGAAAGAATTTTTACTCCACACACAACATGTTAAACCCTTCCTAATTTTTAAGAAATACAATTAAAATCTTACTTGTCCTCACTCCCTCTACAGGCAACAGACAGAAAGGCACTTTCAGAGGGCTTTCGAGTCCAGAATTTGTGGGGAGATAGTGCAATTAGCTCCCAGTTCACAGGCCTCCAGAACACCTTGTGCTAAGCAAGGTAATTTCAGGTTCAAGTTTCAGACAACTCAACATATTTATCAGTGAATAGTTGCACTATATGTAATTGTATTTACCCAACAAGATTTTTGTAACAAACTCTTAGAACTTTCATAGCACTCTAGCAGGAAAACCTTCAAGATATACTATGCAAAAGCTGAACTCTGAAAGCATTGCTTTAACTCTGCTTACTAAGCATGCTTGGTTTGAGGGCAAAAAGGCAATGCTTTGTAAACACATCGTGTTTTGGAACAATCACCTACAGCAGCATGAGGACTAAGGGCACACCATTTTAGGGGTAGGCAAGTCAAAATTCAGCTCCATTGACTTCTAGAGCATTTGGTAAAAAACAATCTTATATAAAAATGTGTTGCAAATTCAGCATGTCAGCGCAGGGGAGTGAAAACCTCCCAAGATGTCAACAACTTTTGGTTCAACAGGCCTTGGTACAAGCCTGCTGGCTCCCCTGCAGGTGCCTTTTGCACCCACCCTCTGTTGCCCACCTTCTCCCTCGCCTTGCAAATCACACTGTGACAATCCAAAAGTCTTCAAGTCTTGAATCTTTCATTATAAAAAAACAAAAAGGAAAAAAAAAGGAGAACAAAACACTTGTACATACTTTGAGACTTCTCTTACTCTCCCTTGGTGCTTCTTGGCTCAGCCCCTTTCTTTTCTTTTCTTTTTTCCGCCCTGAGAGAGCCCCACCAAACTTGGTGCCCCAAGGCCCAAAGGATGCTCCTGTCCATCGTTGTCCTCATTTAGTTGTCATGGCTCCATGCCGTACTGATACTGTATCACCACAAGGTCTCTATACTCTATTTAAGGGGCTCCAAAAGAGCCACTACTATCCCAATTTAACAAGAATAGTGGTTTAAAAGGAAGATTTCCTATAAATTAGAAAAAAAGTGTATATAAAAACACTATATTAAAAGAACTCTTAAGGTTGTAACAAACTAATAAATGGATGCAAGGCAAGAGTTAATAATCAAACCTATAATAAGTAAGCACAACCCAGGACCTTATGTGCTCTGTGCCATGCCTAAATATTACAGGTTGTGATGTTTAACCAAGACTTTCCATCCTTTCATCAGTTTTAGTTACAACATTAAAATGTTCTTTTAATTTAGTGCAAACCGCTCAGCAACGCAGCACTGGTTTGGGACTGACTTAACACAACAGTCACCTATGAGGGACACAAAAACTACTACTTGAAAGCTGAGGAACAGAAAAATGCTCCTGAGCAAGTGAAGAAAAGGAAGTTCTATGCAGTGACAGGTGGTTATCACTGCCCAGGTAAGTGAAATCACCTAGTCATGAGGCAAGACAGTAAGTGATGGAACAAACTAATGTAAGAAATTCCACTGAAGAATATTTACATAGAACTGTAGAGAACACTTCCATTGAGAAACTAAACCAGGTTTACAATGTTATTGTTATTGCTACTTATAAGAAACATTCTGTGTTTTGAAAATGTATTTGCCAGTGATTATTGAATAACCACAGTAAAGACAAATGGGAGGCCGATATGATGCTTAGGTCACCAGATGTTTTAACAAGTGCTTAATGAATGGGGAGGTACCTGAATATATCCAAAATCATCCTGTGTTACTACCACACCTTTGATGCCTCCCACCAGTTGAAATCCAAAGAAAACTGGCATTAGTGAACAAACAAAATTTCAAATTTTGTGGCTGTCTACAGAGGGAATTGAAATTAATTTGATGGTATCAGTAGATTACAAACAAAAGTGTTCTCATAACGTAGATAACACAACTGATAAAAGTTCTGCTGATGTGAAAAAGTTTAACAGAGCCGTGAAGTAAGTTATTCCATCATCTTACTAACAATTCTAGACATCCAAACTGTAACATGACATTGGAGCAATGCAAGAAATTGTGTTTTTCTTTCAGACTGAACATTTTGGTTTCGGTAAGCAGAGAAACAAGAGTAATATTTGCCAGCATCTTCCAAGTCAGCAAGGCAAGAGAATGTAGTTTTTCCCTCTAAGTGGCCATGCTACTGGAAAACTCTGCACCATAAATCTGCAGATACCAGATTCACTGTGTGTCCTCCTCCTAGAAGATGTAGTTGGTTGGGAAGTCAGGCTTGATGAAGTCTGGTTCTCTTCTAACTCTTGCCTAGATTCCTGAAAACAGAAATACTGAGTAAGCCTGAGCATAAATATGAGGTAAAATTCAAGAATTAACTTACTAAATTAAACCATTGATACGATCATGCAAAACTGAATAGAATGTACAACTCAGAATAATTTATTCAAATAAAATAAAAATGGCACCTTAACAACATTTTCTTCTTCAAGCTGAGATGTGGCATCATCCTCAGGTGTGTCGCCAAGGGTAGAGTCTGAAACCAAACCAAAATAATACTTATAATACAATATAGCAGAAAAACTCAATTTCAGGCTGAAAAAGTAAATTCTAAGTAAAACTTAAAATCCAGACATTTTGCAACAATGGAAAAAACACACTGCTCCTTTGTTTTCCAGGTGTGTGCAGCACCTTCCCTGCAACATTACTGAAGTGGAAATGTGGGGAGAAAGAAGAAATGTCAACAGAAAGCAGCTCAGAATTCTGTTACAAATGGCTTCAAATGAAGTCTGTGCATAAACTGTGATTCTGCAGATATGAAAGAATATAAGCAGGAAATGTAATTACTTGCTCCTCTCCAAAGTGCTTTCTACTACTTATGGGAACCCTGAGTTAGAAAGACATACAATAGAAGAAAAATTAGCTGTTGTTAAAGATATATGCTTAGTAACTGACAGATCCTGAATTAATAAAGAGTCTTTCCTGAAAAAATAACTGGAAGATAAATTTAAGTTTGCAAGCTTAACAATGGGGATGACAAAGAGAGCAAGTTTCCCATCTTCAGCAGCTGAACACTTGCCTTTAGGAAAAATCAGAAACAAAGGGTGTCTTTATAGAGATTTAGAGGCCAATTTACAAAATGGTTTCCATTGTTTAACTTCTGTTTCAGACCCCATATAAGGCAAAAATTACAGCTATACTGAGCATTTTTATACTGCAGGACTGTGTGTAACAACTCTGCATTCAAGGAGTGGCTATCCACAACATCACCACAAAGATACTTTTTAAAAGTATACAGCCCATTTAAAACAGGGCTGAGTATAGCTCAGAATGACCAGTTCCAAATGAACTTCACATTCAGTTGTGAAAATCAAAACAGAACTTTACCACAAGAAAAAAAGCCTTTAGCCTAATTTCATTGCTGGCATAAGTTTAAGAAGTTTATTTTTCATATTAAAACTTTGTACGTTGTTGAGGGCTTTATCAATAACAAATACAAGCAAATTACTTAAGTTTGTAATTTAGTAGCCTTTTTGTTCAGCTCTGTGTTTTTTCTGGTTCTAGTCCAATAAAATTACCCAATTTTTTTGTTCTACTGAGGAAACAAGTGTTTGCTTTGGTTCACCATTTGTGATTGCTCTGGATTATAGTGAGCAAAGCCAAACAGCGAATAATGGAGAGCTCACTGTTGTCAGATCACTGTCTGCAAGAGTCACCATGAAAATTCTATTTTCCCTACTGCTGTTTCCCAAACAAATCACCCTCCTAAGCTAGCTTACCTTGTTGATTGATTGCTATCAGATTTCTGGAAATCATTGAATATAGCCTCCTTAAATAGGGATAAAGAAAGAGATGATACAAGTTAGCTACACGTAACCATAAAAGAGAGCTTACCATCTTTGAAGATGCGGAGAGTTAAAAAAGGGACATATGCATGATGGTCTTCATTATTTCCCAACCAGACTCTCAGAAAAGAATCCCATTTTTTACCTGTGTTCTTTTACTGAAAAGCTTGTTACTCCAAATAACTCCCCCAGGAGATCATTTGCACAGTGTACAATATGCTGCTGTTTTTCATCATATAATTGCTTAGACATAATATACTGTCCAATATAGAATATTACCTGTGAAATAAATTAAACACAGATGTTAAATATCCAGGTTGTTTCTTAAAGTCTAAGAGACAAAGCATATTAAATACATTGAAATTTACTCTTCAAACTCTGCCTAAAACTCTCTTTGAGCTGACAGATTTTCATCCATCATTCCAGAAGAACACTACTATTCTACTGACCACCAGAAACTTTTGTTCAGATTTTTGAGAAACTTGCTAAATACCCAACTACAAGTCAGTAGGAGAATAAACGCTGTCTTATCTCAATTTCTAGACAAGCTATGAAAAACACTGCCCCTCCCCATTTACCCAACCCAAAACAACCTATCTGTACTCACTGTAGTCTACCTTTAGTGGTTAAAAGTTCTCACCTCCTTCATAGTAAAAGTGTCCTTTTCAGCACCAGCTAACTTTAACAATTTCAACAGCAGTGGCTTTGGTTTAACCTGTGTATGAAAGGAGAAAAAATACACTAATTATCACCAAAAAAACCCATTTATTTATACCAGCTGTTTTCCTCCTTCTGTATTAATCTGATATGCAAACATACAACTGCATTAAAACCTATCTTCATTCAAGTTTTTCACTTTGTAAAGTTCAAACTTAAAAGCAAATAATATGAACCAAATCATACTAAACTTCTCATACACTGTTCATCTTAGCTCAAACCCCAGTTTTGCACTGTCCCCTGGTTTCAGCTGGGGTAGTTAATTTTCTTCCTAGTAGCTGCTACAGGGCTGTGTTTTTGATTTAGAGGGACAATAATGTTCCCAGCACACTGAAGTTTTTGTTGTTGCTAAGTAGCTACACTAAATCAAGGATTTTTCAGTGTCCCATGCTCTGCCAGTGAGGACATGCACAAGCCATGAGGGAACATGGCCAGCACAGCTGACCTGAATCCCCTGGGGGGATTCCACACCATGGAATCCCAAGGGGATATTCCACACCATGGAATGCCAGGCCTAGTGCTATGAACAGGGGAGTTGGCCAGGGGGTTAAACCTCAACACACTGGTAAATACAAATTCCATAACTGGAGCTACAGAATTTGTTTATTAGCTCCAAGTCCAGGGCTGGGTCCTGAGGAACTCAGCTTCACTCCTTTAACCATTACAACAACTCCCAAAGGGGAGGGAGGATGGAAACAGACCTCTGTAACTGCTAGGTCCACAGTGCAAGTCCTAAAACACTGGTCCATCTCTTTCTTGGTCTCTTTCTGTGACAGTTTCTGAGGTTTTGGTTTTGCATTTGCCAGCTGGGCTGCTTTACCTCTCTTAGCTGGGACCAGCACACCCTGTCCCTTCTGTCATACCTCACTCACACCCACCTCCCACCCAATGGCCTCCCACCCAGTCACTGTGCCAGCAGTTTAATCTGCAGTCAGTCTATGACAATTTCCAAGGCAGAGGAAGGAAAAGTTAAACAAGAAAAATCACTTCCCCCATACATACATACATACACACAAACTGCACCGTCCCACACAGCTGAGCCAGCACCAGTGCAGCAGATGAGAACAAGCTGCAGGGACTGCCACAACAGCAAAGCCTGTGGAGCCACCGATGCTCCCAGAGCAGTATATTCCAGAGTCACCTCTTTAACAATAATGCAACCATTCTAAAACCGGGCTAATATTTAGCTATCCTGATATATTACATAAAATAAAATGTAAAAAATAAACACACAGAAAGTAAAAAAAAAAAAACCAAACCAAAATAGGGAAGTGTGAACAAAATATCATGGGACAAGGAATTAATGTTTGAGGAAGGGTGGAGGAGGGGAACTACCCTTCATTCCATTCCACAGATCCACTAAAACCAACATAAGTTTCAGTGAGTTAACAAGATATTAGCTGCAAGAATCACACATTATGAAAAAAAAAACTAAGCTCCTGGACAACATTAGCTGTCCATTCACCCCCTCCTAAGAACTGAATTATTTAGAACATGTGTCACATATATTAGTTTCATAAAAGAAGCAAACAAAAACTTATTCAGGTACTACTGACAGTTAAGCATAGCAAGGCACAGTTTCAAAACTGAATCCACACCTAAGCCCACTTTTACTCCCCAGCCCTCTCCTCCTGTCTCCTCCAAGTTCTGCAGCCTTGCAGGTCTGACAGCAGACAGTACTATCACAATATGATGATATTAAAAAAAGGAAGACACAAATTAAAACAATTTTGAACAGCACTGTTCTGCAATTTCACTTTTTTGAAGTTCTACTGTCAAATCCACACTTTTAAGCTTAACCCTTCTACACAAGATAATTCAGTTCAACCATCATTGTACGTATGCATTTCAGGTGTAAAAGGCTTCAATCCTCAGAAAAACTAAGGACAAAACAGCAGAACTATCACTGTATTATGGAAAGCCTAGAAATGCAAAGCCATAACACAAATCGAAAATCTTCCCATTATTTCACCAAGAGTATGTTTTGTACGATGGAGATTTTCTAAAGCTCTTCAGCTATAGGATCTTTAACAATTACCACCCGAAATACTTACAACTATCAAATCTGATCATAGGATCCTTTTTATTAAAAGAAAGCAAAAAACATCAAACGTCTCCAGGAAACATTCTAGACCTATACCATCACCCTGTACTCTCAATTACGCTGAAGATTTGCTTCCTACAGAAACAAAGAGAACCACCTTCTCTGGCTGGACTTCCTGCCTTTTCTCCAGCCATCGCTCGGTAAGCACAGGATTCTTCTGAATTAGCCGCTAAAAACTCTGCAAAAAGCACGCAAAACAACCACGCGCCCAGCAGCTACTGACCAGCGCCTCTTGCTCCGAAGTGGCGGCAGAGGCATCCGTAAGGGAGGACATCTTGGTATTGCACATTTGCCTGCAGTGAAGGGAGAACAAGTCAGATCGCGGCACGCAGCGACACAGCCCGGGGGGGCGGCAGCCGCCAGGCCGGCGGGGCCCACTCACCTCGGGGCCTGCTCCAGCCCGCACGCTGGGCTCCGGCGGCGGTGTCTGTGCCGGGCCGGGCCGGGCCGGGCCGGGCCTTATATAGCGCTGCCCAGAGGAGGCAAGTCAGGGCTTAGCTCCGCCGCGGCCCGGCGCGGCCCGACATGCCTGAGCATGACCCGCAGCGCCGCCGCCGACTCACCGCGGGGGGCGGGCGGGCGCCACCGGCCCGCGCTGACTCACCGGCGTGGAGAGACGGCGCCGTAGAGGAACAGCGGCGATCCCGCGCCCCGCACCCACCCACCAGCCCGGCGCGGTCTGCCTGGCCTGGCCTGGCCCCGTTCCGCCGGCGGGAGCCCCTCCCCCCAGCACCGAGGGCCGCACGAGCCACCGGCGAGACCCCCGGCTCCCCCTCGGCCCCCGAGCGCGCCGCGATCGATCCCCACGCACCGCCAGCCACGCCCGCTCCGCTGCCCGGCCCGCGGCGGGCGGAGCGCCGGGAGCGCCGGGCCCCGGCCGGACCCTCTAGCGCGGCCCCGGCGCGCCGCGCACGCCGCCCGCCGCCATGTTGGTGCCCGCAGCGCCCCCTGCGCCCGTTGGCCGCGGGAAGCGGCCCCGGGGAGGGAAAGGCGCCCCCCGCCCGCCGCGCAGCGGCAGCGACACAGCCCGGGCCGGCCGCCTCAGGCCCAGCAGCGCCTCTGGGCACCAGCTCCGCTTCAGCGGCCGACCATGCCTTCTGCGTTGGTTTCATTTCCAGAGGTAGTTAAGAAATGAAACTAAGAGAAAACTCTGCATCCAGAGATAGTTGGACGTTGTCGTCCTATGCTCTTGTCATCTCCCATTCTACAATTTTCTGAATCTTTTCAAATGTAGGCCTTTTGGAAGTATGTTACTTTAACAGGTACTTATTAGTTGCTACACTTCAATTCGAACTGGTTCGTTTTTAGTCTGCCTTTTCTAATTCTCAGGGTTTTTTTTTGCCCATGACGTTTTGAAATTATTTTTGAATAATGAAAAGCTTTTTTCAGAGAACATGAGTGGTGCAGACAGTGTTTAAAGATAGGCTAGAGCAGAGGGAGTGTAATGCTACTTTTCCATGACAACTAACTTGTCCAAACAAGCAGTGGATAATTGCCTGGACTTGTCTGAGCTTCTCGGCAACCATGGCACCTTGTAAATTTCCAGCAACAATTTAAATCTAGATATTTGTGTGTGACGACAGATTTTCAAGATGACCTTTTTATCTCTCTAGAGCATAAAGCTCAAGGTCTAGTAAGGGACAGCCGAGAAGCTGCTAGAATTTTGCAAAGCCTGCTCACCTCCTTTTAGTGCTGGGATTTGAGGGCAAACAGAAATCTGTTTTTAGTGGAGTCAAGAATGTCCTGCAGCAGGCAAAGTCTGATATCTGCTCTTTTCCACCCAGCACCCCAGTTCCTGACATCCTTAGCTAATTTCATTCTTAGGAGAAAACTCCATCTACACAAAAATGCAAGAGGAAGGAAGTGAATGGCTGCTAAATACCTCAACTACTGATGCTCAATCTTGTCCTCATGTAGACTACACAAAAACTATAATTCCAATGCAAAATGTATTTTACTGAACAGAAACCGAACCAAACAAAACTGTTTATGTAGTTCTCCCCAAGCTATCACATTATTGATCATCATCTTAAGCACAGTATCATTTTGCTATGGCTGTGTGGCAATTAAAAGAGCTTTTTAAAATTAGCAATAAATTTTCTGTAGTCCAAGACTTGCCAAACTCATAACTGACTTTCTTTTTCCACTTCTCTACCAGTAAGCATCTTCTGACCAATGGCTTTGAGTCTGAGATTATTTAAATAACAACTTCCCTTACTGATTCATTAACTGCTAAGGATAAAAAAAAACCCAACAGTTTCTGTCTAGGTTTTTTATCAGCCTTCAAGGACAATCTTATCTCTTTTCTCCAACAGACTAATCTTGAGTTAAGGGAAATTGCAAGTAGGTAAAATATGCTGTCTGTGCTAGCTGATATGCAGTGCTGCAACACTTGTTTGTCACTAGTACAGTTAGTGCTGCTATGTGATCAACATACATAATTATTTTCTTGTGCTTGATTATTCAGGAGAAGTATAATTTAAAAGTTTTACTTGAAGGGTGAGTAATAAGCTTCTATAGTTACAAGAGCTGACTTCTCCACTATTTGAGGGTTGAAAAAAGAAAAGGAGATATCAGTACACCTGTGTACTTTACTTATAATGCTACAGAAAATATCTGGAGTAGTTAAGGTCCAGCTGCCTTAACTGGAGATACTCACTTTACACTGTGGTTAGCTAACATTGTATGAAACCCTTTTTAATATAAACTCAGATTCTAACTGTAGACATTTTACTGTTTAATGCTTACAAGCTAAATTATTTCCTGAGATGGATCTGGTCTACCTATAGGCACATGTGCCAGAGGAAAGGCAGGCCCCAGTGTTGCAGGAGTGTCCAACTCAAGTGAATGGACGGACTATTAAAACACTTCAATTTCTGATTTTTGTTCCTCACTGTAATTTTTTTCTCCCCAATATGTCCTACTTACCTTTCCTGGCAGCTGCCTGTTCAACATCCAGCACATGCACAGTATGGTCCTTGCCAGATGCTGATTGGTGGCCAGGGTTTGTCAGGATTCATCTCCAAGCCATTTGCTCCTAATCAGATAGAATAATCTCATACTGTCTATGAACTGCTCCCAGACAAAAAAGAAATAAATTCAGAGCAACTCTCCAGGGTTTTGCACTGTGCTGATGTATCCTTTCTGAAGCCTTAGGCTGCATCTCTATTACTGTGACATAAAGCTGGGATCCACTGTGTGCTGCAGATTGCCAGGCACCTCAAGGTGAAAGGACAAAGGAAGAAAGATGCTAAAATGCAGCTGGAGCATGTGTTGCTTGATGTGGCTTTCTGCCAGGGCTGCCTGCTGCAGCTGTGACCCCTCGTGCCAGACAGTGGGTCAGTACAATTCTGTACAAATACAAAAGAAAGAACTTTGTTGCTTTCTTGAAACGGCTGTTGTGTAAGAAAAAGCACAACGATAAGAGATCCTCATGCCAGTAATAGCATATTTGATTCAGGGAAATTCTATGTCACAATCTTTCACCTATCCCAATGGAGACGTCTGTCAGCACCTCCCCCAGAAATTCATACTAGAAATGACACTCAGGTTCTACTAAGTGAAAAGCAGATGCAGCCTTCCTGGGAGCAGGTTTGGACAGACAGGCAGGAATCAAGAGCATGGCTCAGCAGCAGTGGGAACCCAAAACCCACACACAGTGCTGTTGCAGTGGTTTAACAAGGAACACTAAACTCTCCTTGCTGTCCAGCTTGTGTTTTCCTGGTGTGCAGGAGCCATGTTTGAGTTTCCCTGGGCTGCACTGCCCTTCCCAACAACCCCAGTTACTCTGCAGGCTGGGTGGCATGGCAGGCATTCTACACCTTCACCTGGGAGCACACCCTGGGCTGTGGTGTCTTATCACAGAACCACAGGATATTCTGATTTGGAAGGGAACCCAAAAGGATCATCAAAGTCCAGCTCCTGGCCCTGCACAGGACACCTCTGAGAATCACACCATGTGCCATGTGGGTGCTTTGGGTACATGATCATCAGTTTCCTACATTTCCATAACTTCAGATGTTTATTTTGAAAAATGTAAAATCACTTCAGGTGTACTGGAAAAGAGGGTCTCAAAAATTATTTTTTTTTCTGGCAGCTGTTCATGAGCTCTTACCTCCCTCCCACACACCCTCAGTTCAGGTGTGTCTGCTCTCCAGCACGTTAACTCCAGCTGCTTCAAAACCACCTGGACATGGAATAATCCCACATCAGAAAACAGCAGCTCTTCTACTTTTGTTTAATTGGTGCATTTATTCCTTCATCCATCTGGGAGAGCTTGGTAATCTGTCTGCCTAAATCTGATTCCTATTTAGCAGAGCACAGTCAGCCACAAGCACAGTTACATGAAACAATAGTGTATGCCTTCTGAAGGGAAGCCAACTGGCAAAAATACAAACCAATGAATTTGAACTTCTGCTCAATATCTAACACAGAATGAAAGGGTTGGGTATTTTTTCACACTCTAGTTTTCTGTTTAGTCCTCACTTTTGAAAGAAGCTCATGGAACAGCTCTAAAGAACTAAAAGGCAGAAATTTCAGGAAAAGACTCCTCTTACTGTCAAACAGTTTTTGTTAAGCACATCACTGAGTGAAGAAACAGGCTTTTTTTCTTAAGCAGGGGTGAAGTATGTGACTAGGTTGTGACCAAATCCTGCTTTACTAAACTGTGAAAATTAAACAATCCAGTGATCTCTCCTTTCCCACAAATACTTGATTGTATGTAATTAGATCAGAAAACCCCCAGTATAATCATGCTCATCTGCCTTATGTAATCAAACTAGGATGATGCCAATTCAGTTTAGAATTTTTCTTTTAATTTAGTGCTCATTTGTCATTCAAATGTGCTGTTCAGTCCAGCACAAAAAAACATTTATGTTCAAGGGAGTGGCCCAGAAGGGTGTGTGGGGTGTGCACAGGCTATTAGGACTCATGTGAAACACTGAGGTTTCTTTCACTCTGAAACTGAAATGTGTTCAGGGACAATCTAGATCCAGAGAAGCTGAGAGCAAACACAGCACGAAATCTAAATCCAGTCTGTTTGGAATGCTATGCCTGGAGAGAACTACAGCTGATGATGAGGTCAGGCCTGAAGTACTATTCAGGTCAGGCTGCAGGTTAGAGGAAGAAAAGACAAAAAATTAAATGTCTGGCTGTTAGTTGAACTGTTTGTTTCTAACAACAAAACCCAGAAGGGATTTTATTACACAACCAGCTTCTAACTGAGACCCATTCTATGTACCTGATCATTTATCTCCCAGAATTGTCCCAGTCTTGCTGACCCAGCTGCCCACATCTCCTCTGCATGCTCCATTCTTGCTTTCTAGCTGCCTGTTATACAAATAACATATGCTTTGCTTTGGGTTGCAGCATCTATAACAACCTTCCTTGCAGACCTTCTTCTGGTCCGCTCCACAATTTAATGTTTGGTTGATGCAGTCTTACTGACTGGTGTATGATTTTACTTGACACAGGATGAACCATCCATTCCTGACAAAACCTCAGCCCTTTTCCTTTCCTAATACACTTGATTTACTGATGAATTACAAAGTCACCTTTCTGCTGGCTCTCTATGTTTGAGAGCACAACTTCTTCAGTAGCATTTTTAGCATACAGTTGTAGCACATGCAGGTAAAAAACAGTGCAAGTATCTAGGCAGGTAAAAAACAGTGCAAGTAGCTAGACAAGTAGTTTGGAACATTTACTAGAAGCATTAGTATCATAGCCTGGCCTGAAACCCTCAATGCTAATTTGAGTAGTTTCCCTCCACTAGTTCGTTGCCATCACAAACAGGGCTAAGTTATCAACCTTGGATGTATATTCTGAAGCCTGCTTTGAAAGTAGATTTGCTGTGAAGAGTTTCCTTGAGATTAAATATCCCCCTCATTCTTGCTAAGTCATCCTTCTGAGAAACCACATTGTTTACCCAGTCTTTTTTTTTTTTTTGCCCATATGCCCTCTCTTGGTTCAGGTGGATCCTGATCACAAGTCACCTCAGCACCCAGGAGCTGGCATGCAATAACTTGTTGCCAAGTGAGAGAAGTGGTTTACAGTGCCCAGTTGCCTGCCTGTGAGTTAGTACCTGTTTAAACACAAATATGAAACAACAGCATGTAAGCAAGGAGCACATC